GTCCACGCATCATTAGCTAGATATGACACGCAAGATAAAGAAATCCCTCATGGCAAAGCAAGCCTAGATGTTCTGTAAAAAGTAGTATGAAGAAAGTGTATTGAAATGATTCAGGTGATACGTCAAGATATTCTTCGACACGCATTTTTGCCACATTATTCTGTTGAACATCGTCCCTGGAAGCAGGGTAGGCAACGCGGTGGTTCCACCAGTATAACTGGTTCTGCAACAAAGATTCACTTCAAGAGGCTGAAACCGCTTCCCCCTCTCAGAGCCTGAGCCTGGGCAAAATTCCATGTTTAAACTTAGACATAAAAAGTACAAACCTGAACTGCTAATTGGTAGAAAGACTGATAATTATACTGCTATAAATAATGATATAAGTGATGTAACTGATAGAAATGCCGATTTAACTTGGAGTGTTCGGTGCCCCACTTCTGAACTAGACTGAAAGGGGCAGGCGCCCACGCACAGTGCCTTCCCACAGCAGGGCAAAGGCAAACACAGAGTTAAGAACAGTCACAGGAGAATATTCCAAACGCATCCTTAGCCTTTAACATCGATGCTAACCGCAAATGCCTCAATAAAAAAAAATAAAATTGACTAAGCCACACAATTAAGCAGAGAAACATAAAAAGAAAGTATTCTTTTTCCTTATTTTATTGGGTAAATGATTTAAAAGGTAATAACAATAGTGTTAAAACGACTACAATATCTTTCCACAGCCATATCTCACAGACCCACAGATAACCTTCTATTTTTTTTTTCTTTTTCCCTCATTTTTCTCTTTTTAAGCCGTACTTATATTAAAATGCCCATTTCAACAGTTTTCTTCACACTAATAGCAATTAAATGTGGAAGGAAGGAGGATCTAGTTATAAAGGAAGGGGGGTCAGGTAATCTGTGATATTATTGTAATCAATCAAGTTGCTAAGGAAGGAAGGAAGGAAAAGCCGGAGGCTTCACAAGCTACTCCAGGTAGCTCTAAGCCCATCGGGTGTCACCATTGCATTAAAGATAACTCAAAATGCTGGTGAACAATTTAAAGTCATTTTTTTTTCTTGTAACATATAAAACACTAAAATAACTTAGAAACTAGATCCAAATATCTTGAAAAGAATCAACTTTGATATACAAAAAACAGTCATAAGTTGTTACAAAAGTTTCAAACAAAAGTTTGTTTTCTCAGTGCGTTTATGTACCAGCGCAATTACTGGGTCCAGAGCAAAGAAAGAGGTTTTTATTTTTTATTTTTTCTTTAACAGTAATAAAAAACGAGGAAAACATATCTTTGTATATAAAGAATCATTGCTGGTCTTAAGAATAAATGTAACCAGAAACCCTTAAATCTGAGAGGCACACTTTGGGTTTCTCTTTTTTTTTTTTTTTTTTTTTTTAAACTTTTTTTCTTTTTCTTAAACATAAAAGGAAAGTCACCAGTTTATTTAAATGGAGAAGATATTCAGACTCCCCAAATAAACTTAATTCAATTAACATCACTAGCAAAAATCAGTTAGAAACTGTACAAAAATAAAAAAGGTAACACATTTAATCCTGCAGGGATTTAGTCAGGACTGGAAGGCAGGCTTTAGGAGCAGCATTTGGGCATGGCTGGAGGCGTCTTTGGTTCGATCTAACACACAGAAGAGATGTAACCTACTCCAGACGACAATTTTTCAAAACCCGCACATTTGAAGACAAGTAAAGAGGTCCGTATACAAACGCCAGGGTGTGCGAATGGATTTGAGCGCCGTGATTCCATGGGGTAGCTGAGGTCAGGACTCCGCGCAGTGTGCCCTCCCCCTGCCGCCATCAGCGTTGGGGCGAGATGGTGAAGAGTCAGTGCTACAGCAGTCGCGGCAGAAGGAAGGCCACTCGAAGCGTGACTAAGTAGTAGTTTCACGTCAAGTCTACGCTTTTGTTTTCTAACTCAGTTTACAGAACAGGGTTTTTAGGAACATTAAGCGAAAGAATTATTAAAAATACCCAACAATCTCTTTAATGAATAAGGCAAACTGAGTAGTGCTCAGAAAAAAACTTGCATTCCAACTTAAAAACCAGTGAAATAAGCTACTTGGTTGTACCTTAACTTCTTCTAAAGTACCCCAAATGAAAACCAAAAAGTATCTAAACCCAGCAATATATCTAACAGGGTACTAAACACAACTACGAGGGAATGCTGTTTGTGAAAGCGGTTGTTGACCAGCTTTAGGCAAACAGACCTATTCTGTCCCAGTGCATGTCACAGTGAACTGCACGTTCTGTACAAATAAACCCACAGTAACACAGAAACGATCCATAGCGGTGTCAGCACTGGCGTGCTGAGGAGGTAGGTGCCCTAGAAACACTGTAGAGAGATTGATTATTCCAATCTTTTAAAAAAAGTAGCATACAATCTGATTGACCACAGACTCTGTAACAGTTTTTTAATCGGTGATACAAAACTCTGGTCCAGAAGGGTCTGGCGTTAACTCATGTCAGAAGCACACCTTTACAGTTTGTATAACACCCTTTTAACTATGTTTTTAAGCAACAGCTACTAAGAGATAGACAAAAATGCATTGTGCATTATGCTGTATACAAAAAGGAGACAAAACTATCCTTTTCCCCCCCAAGCCATGGTGGGAAGTATTGCTGACCTTGTCCTTAAAAACCTGCAGGATTGTTTATTCATCAGTATATCATTATTACACTGGTAAGAAATTCTGTATAACATCTGCATATATCGAAGATTTTTTAAAAAATCTGATATGATTTTAGATCCGCATGACCAGTCACGTGACCTGCTTGAGGTTGATTAGCACCTTTCAATACATATATATTTTTATATATAATAGATCTTTTTAAAAAACTTCTAACAATGAGCTCATACAGGAGCATGAGCGTGCTGTAACGAGATGACAGATAAAGATGGGGTCGGATGACTTTTTTTTTTTTTTGCAGCAGAATGATTAAGTTTGTGCTCAGTTTCCCTATAAGGGCAAGAAAAAAACAAAAAACCAACACAACTCGTATCAGGTAGCCACTTGTTCACAGTTTCCACTTGAAGACTAATGCGTTTAAAAGTGGTCCCCAAGTAGAAACAAGACAACAGTATCATCCAAAATAGCCTCTGTATAAACATCTATTCATTTTTGCAGCTTCTCGCTGGCATCTCTTGGCTCCTGAAATTTCAGGCCCTCTGCTTATAAATTAAGGCATCACAACTGAAAACGTTAATATTTGGACATCAAATGCTGTGGATGAAGGAATACCAAAGACCTTCTACAAGAACCTCCGTAGGAATTAAGTGGCAAAGCTAACCTCATGTAAGGGATGAGCACAGTTTATCCATTTCTGGTTTTGAAACCCTTTTGAAACGCTTTTACAATTAGTCTGATTTTTTTGTTTTTTTAAACAACTGCATTTTAATTCATTTTATCTGTTTGACTTTTATACATCTATATATTTATAAACATTCATTATTCAAAATAACTGGAATTTCTGCTTACTGTGGTTTACTCACTCATATTAGGAAGGTCTTTTCTAGACTAGACGGCATATACTGTCCCCTGGAATACGCACTGAGCTACACCAGGTACTCGTGGGCGTTCTGCCGGCCCATGAGCAAGGACGTAGCTCCTACCATATAGTGGCCTTGCAAACGTACCACGCATACCTTTTACTAAAGCCTATTTTTACAGCAGGAAAAAGTTCCAAACAGTTTTCTTTCTTGGACCGTGTGGAGGGGTATCAGAATTATTACACAGTACTTACAGCTGTCAAGTACTACTCCTGTAATAGATGAAAACATGTAAAATTATGGCATACTTGTCCTGTGCTCTTTCACAAGAGTCTTCTTTTTTTAAACAATAGTTAACTTTATCTAACTATTCATGACTTGATAAAACTCAACAAGTTCAAAAGCAGAAGCAAGAAGAAAACAGGGATTTTTATTTTTCAAAATAGGTTTGCTATAAAAAAGAAACCACCTCACTTTAAAAAAAATCCCCAAAAACCTGACGCCAGAGCAGACTCAATATGGTTTGCTAGAATGTCTGGCGTATTTGCTATATTTTTTCTATGAATTTTATATATAAGCATATAGTTATGTCATAGTCAAAGGCACTAAAATCTAAATCCATTTTCTTCCAAATATGACATCTGCTACTCGCCAACCTGTTTTTAAGAACAAATGTCACCCCTAATTTGAGATCATCAGAAAGGCATCCTCTCGTTACGACTGCGTTATTACGACTAGTCGTGACGGGGCTGGACTGCGCTCGAGTCCCAGCACAGAGCGGGAGAGGAAGGTGTGTGGTAGCCTACTGGATGATGTCATGCCCTGTCAATTAGGCCACTTGATCTGAGAATGCTGCCACGTTGACATCACCTCTCATTGTACGTGTAATCGCTTCTCTTCATCCAAAAAAGCATTTGGATGTCAGCCTTGAGATGTTGGCTGGATGTGCTGGATCTGAAGATCATGTATATAGCTACATGAAATCTTTCCAGGGGGGAGGCGAGATATTGTACACACAACATTATTAAGAACGTTATGAAAATGCAATTCATTGTCTAATATAATACCTGAATCTGATATGTTTCATTCCCTGTCACACCTATTAACGCAAATCCATGAATGCCTTTTTGCTAAGCAAAGCATCCCTAACTGTAATCCTTAAACTCTTCCTTCCATCCACAGTCACAGAAAGCCTTGATTGATATAATTCAATGTTAATGAAGTAGAAATTTTAAATTTCATAAAAAACCCAAGGGCTATATATGCTGCAAAAAAATCTGCAGTGACTCAATAATAAAAAAAGTATGGGATCTTTGTAGTAATGCAGTTTTCCCTCCCGTTGCCATGATGAGCTTAACCAACTAAGAAGCCTCAACATGGCAACGGAAACTATCATCATAAAATGGTACAGTAATAGAGATAGCTAGACCAAGAAGGGGCAGGGTCTCCTGGGAAGAGGTCTGCAGAGAGGTCCAGTGACTGGTCATGCGGCTCAGTGTCAGGAATAATGGTTGTACGGTGGAAGGGGGTGCCCAATACCATTTTGGAAGTGATGATGCTGACGATGGGCAAGGTACTCTGTGTAGCTCATCGTCATCTTCTCACTACGGTACCTAGGAAAGAGCAAAGGACAGTTACCAGGAAGCTGTACGTAACACTAAAAATACTGCACTAGCGGTGTGTTTAACGATAACAGCTCTGTACTTCTGATGACTAATTTCAGTTGCACAAGGGCAGGGAGGCAACCGCCATGGCTGCCAGGGTCATTCTTGAATCACATGACAAATAAGTACTGATGAAAAATATTTTAAGCAAACAGAACTGTTAAAACTTGTTGCCTATTATGTTGCTCAAAGTAGAGGGAACAGAAACTCATGATGATTTATTGAAAACGTCCCGTATCGTCAGGCAACTCTTTACATAAAACCTAGGAGAAAAACTGTAAGCAAGCACTACAGATTTTTGGGCTGCTTTTAAACAATCAGTATCAATTGTCTGCCAAATTCTGCTTTTAAGATAATCCCAGCTACATTAAATGGAGTTACGTTATTTTTAGACTAGAATCATAAAATATCTCAAGTTGGAAGAGACCTATAAGGATCACCGAGTCCAACTCCCCGCTCCTTGCCGGACTACCTAAAACTAAACCACATGACTAAGAGCGTTGTCCAGACACTCCTGGAACTCCGACAGGCTTGGTGCCCTGACCACTTCCCTGGGGACCCTGTTCCAGTGACCAACCACCCTCCCAGTGAAGAGCCTTTTCCTAATGTCCAATCTGAACTTTCCCTGGTGCAGCTTCGTTCCATTTCCTCGTGTCCTACTGCTGGTCACCAGAGAGAGGAGACCAGCACCGCCCCCTCCGCTGCCCCCTTTGAGGAAGGTGTAGACTGCGATGAGGTCACCCCTCACCAATGAGGTCACCTCTCAGCCTTCTCTTCTGCCAGCTGAACAAACCACGTGATCTCAGCTGCTCATCATGAAGTCTCGCCTTCGAGGCCTTTCACCATCATAGCCACCCTCCTCTGGACACACTCTTTAACAGTTTGATATCCTTCTTACATCGAGGCACCCAAAACTGCACACAGTACTCCAGGTGGGGCCGCACCAGTGCAGGGTAGAGTGGGACAATCACCTCCCTCGACCAGCCAGCAACCCTGTGCTCGACGCCCCCCAGGGCAGGGTTCGCCCTTTGGGCTGCCAGGGCGCACTGGTGACTCTCATTCAACTTGCCATCAACCCAAACCCCCAGATCTCTTTCCACAGGGCCTCTCCAGCCTCTCATCCCCCGATTTGTACGTATAACCAGGATTACCCCATCCCAGGTGAAGAATCCTGTGTTTGCTCTTGGTAAATGTGACACTGTTGGTGACTGCCCAGCTCTCCAGTCTATCCAGATCTCTCTGTAAGGCCTCTCTGCCCTCGAGGGAGTCCACAGCTCCTCCTAGTTTAATATCATCGTCAAGCTTAATATACATTTGACTCCTGCATCCAGGTCGTTTATAAAAACATTAAAGAGCACTGAAATTGAGCCCTGGAGAACCTTACTGGTGACTGGCCACCAGCTTGAGGTAACCCCATTCACAACTCTTTGAGCCCAACCCGCCAGCCAACTGCTCACACAACGTATTATGGACTTGTCCAGCTGTGTGCTGGACATTTTATCCAGAAGGATACTGGGAGAGAGAGCATCAAAAGCATTGCTGAAATCAAGAAAACCCACATCTACCACCTTCCTTTGGTCAACTAGATGAGTCACCCTGGCATAAAAGGAAATTAAATTGGTTAAGCAGGATTTTCCCCTCATGAACCCGAGCTGGCTATGACCAATGACTGCATTGTCTCACAAGCGTTTTTCAATAGCTCCCAGAATAACCTGCTCCATCATTTTACCAGGCTCTGAAGTGAGACTGACAGACCTGTAATGACCAGGGTCTTCCTTCTTACCCTTCTTGAAAAACTGGGGCAACATTTGCCACCTCCTGACACTGCTGAAAAATCATGGAGGGGTCCCACAGTAACACTGGCCGTCTGTATGTAACTAAGAGCAGAATCCAGGCCCTGACAACAAATATTTTGGATATACTTGCATCAGTATTGACAACAAAGAACATATTGCCACTTTTGCACTTATCTGTAGAAGTGTAAAAGCTACAAAAACACACCACTATTCCACATTTCCACAAATTTCACTTAGAGAGATTCTGCATGAGAGATCCGACAGATGAGATCTGGTGAATCCAGCTATAGTGATTTAAAATATTACCACTTCTTTCTCTCATATTTTTCTTCTGGAGTTGCTCTGGGTGTTCTTCTCATCTCTTAGCTCTGGAAAAACCCACAACAGATGGCTCAACCACTCGCACTTACAACCCAACACAAAAGTTTGAACTACCGTGGAGTTGCCAACTGCAGCGATTAAGGTGGCAAACACATTTGCTTCTCTTGCCTCTTCGCCAGAGGAGCAGAGCAGAACATCTTCAACTTGCAGCTTTTTGCTTCCGTGAGCATGTTTCAGAGCACCAAAGGTGCCCACGCTTACTTGATACAACAGTGTTAATGATGGAATTGCCGCAAATGGTATGCGGCGCTCTGCGCTCGACGAGTAAACTGGTCTGTGCGTGAAATCCCCTGCCTCTATGAAAGGAAACCAGCAACCAACTGCATTCACTGCCAAGCGTAAGTGGGGGAAAGCAGGCCAAAGGCAGCCTGACCAGAATCACATCTGCTCATTTAAGCAGATGGCAGAGAAAACGCAGTTACTGTCCTTACGCATTCTAGACCCCTAGAATCGGTACACTTCTTCCAGCTCCGCTGTTTTGCAGTTCTCTTCTTCAAAACATGGCCAGAACTACTGGGTGTTAACCTGAAGTGAAGACGATTAGCAGTAGACTGGTTTTGGTCAGCTCAAAGCTTTATTCACACACAGGGCATTTACTTTAATTCCGGGACTTGAAAAACAAGGTAAAAGCACTTTCCAATAGATGTTTTACTGTATGACAAGAAGTTATTAAAATAAGGCTCTAAAAAAGGCTGTCTGATGCTGAGAAATGGTTACTATTTTAATACTACTGTTTGTAATATGTCGGCAGAAGCTGAGATTTTAAGCAAGTAAAACAGACAGACAAAAAAAATTTACTCTGAACGTTAAAAATTATGCTTTGTTTATTCCATTTATCAGGCCAGTGATTTTGCATGTTGTGAACTTAAACTAACACTCGTTAACATCAGCCCCTGAAGATCCATTACGGCCAATGAACAAACTGCAAAAAGCAAAAGCTAATACACTGCTAAGATTTTTCAGAGTTACGAAACAAAATATGCAGGTACCCTGATATACACGCAGCCTGATATTTAACTTTCTTGCTTAGTGCCACTAACCCCTACGCATGGCACAGACGTTCTCCAAACTCTGTACTGCTATTGCGAAAAGAAAGAAATCATTACTGACATAAACAGGAAAGCTTACTATTACCATCTGAAATAAGCACTTACCAGCAATGAACACATCACAGTATTACAAGAACAGGATTTATCTGTAGTATCCCATGATGCATACCTGGTTAGCTTTATTGTTTTCCTGAATTCATTAGTAATCGGAGCTTTGTAGCCTCCTTTCCTCAATAAGGAATCTATGGTTTGAATGTGGTCCCATCCTGTTTAATTTTACAGGAGAAAAAATTAGTGAGAAATACAGCAACGAGAATAGATGTTGCAAAAATACAGTACAGTATGTTGTGTTACTGGTAACAAAAGTCTCTGCTGAGGTTCCGTATAAAGCATAGAACATCCTTCCCTACTTAAGAACAGCAGAAGGAAACATTACATAGAGGATTTCTTTACACACAAAGTTCACTTTACAAACAACATATATTTTAATCTCATAGTTGAAATATTTTAAAAGTGGACCCACTATATCCAGGTGTCTTAGATTGGGGGCGAGATACAAAATTAACTTTTCTGAAATGTTCAGGTATGACCATGTATCGCAATCACTTTATACGTTATAAATGGCTATGATGGTATAAAATAAAATTTACAAGAATTATTAGTGGAACGTGCGCAGAGAACTTCAGAGATTAGGCTTCTTCTCAAACACCACTTAACTTTACAGTGATATGTCTACTGTCAGAACTACTATATTACATTACAGGTGTCTGGTTAACTGGGTAATAAAAAAAGTGATGGGTTAAAAATACAGATTCATTGCTGTTCTCAATAAAATCTTCATGCTATTCAAAACTCCTATTTATTGATTTAAAAAGCCTAATATTTTAAGTAGCTGCTAGACATGTTATTTCCAAAAGAGGCAATTAGATTAGTCACATTGTTACAGTTTAAAAAAAAAAAAAAAAAAAAAAAAAAAAAGAAGAGGAGTAGTTTGGGGTATTTTAAGGAGTCAGATTGCAACGCATGGTCTGCTGAAACTATTTAGAAATTTTAAGACAAACTCCTCCCCCCCAATTCCTGAATTTCAAAAAAGCTTGTTAAGTGATCACCAAAGGTCTCAACAAAAAACCCCTTCTGTAATCCCTTAGATTACAGAAGCAAAAATAATTGTCTTGGAAAGCCTCTAAACTTTTAGGTGGCTAAATGGAAATAGAATTATCAATTACAGATGATCCTCTGTGAAGGTTTCATCCTGTTCCTCAGTAGACCAACTCAAATATAAAAAGGGCAAAAACCACCCAAAAAGCAGCAATGCAAAATGTAAAAGACTGAGACACACTGTCAAGCTTGAAAGAAAAAAACATAGTGAGTAGTCACAGTCAGCTGCTTAGTCCAAAAGATGACTGTTCAACAAAATCTACTGTAGTTTTTTTTAATTCACAAACTTAACTCTGCGCCGCTATTAAAAGGGAGATTAACAACATTATTTTTGGACACTTATATTGAAAGTAATTCCCATCCATCCATCAAAAATCCAAGGAAGCCAGTGTTTATAAAAGGAATTAAGTACTGGCAGAAAGTACCTAATTGGAAAGAAAAAAAAAGCTTGATCATTGCAAACTTCGGAATGAAGCAGCTGTTAAGGTAACTGCCCAGACATCCCATCACTTAACACAGCTTGTGCACGGCACTACTATCACAGCATAACAGCTACACGAAAACTGACAGCTTTTAACACCTGTAAAGCTGGCTGGCAGCACTCGACCACCCCTCTGGATTTTATTCTCCTACAGCTACGCTGCATTTAGGACTTGTTTAAAAGACAGCTACAGTTTACTGAATCCCTATAAGGGACTGATACAGGCATGTAATTGGCATTTGATAGAAGAGTCTTCTTACAATTAAATATTGCTCCATCATCTGACATCAGTGCAAGGTCAAATATTGCATTTTAGATTTATATGTATGTTTAAATTCTTCACCAGATCATATGAAATAAAGTGCAACAATGACCTTGCTCCTTTGCAACCTCCGGTAAGTAGGTGGCGGTGCGTTTTGATCCTTTTTCATTGATGAATTCTATTCTAATGCCATGTACACCCACCTGCAAGAAATCGGCAGCTTTATTAGTACATTAAAAGAAAAAAAGATACAAGAGATTTCGAACATGATAAAAGCCCAGATGCAAACCTTTCAGTGGTTAATACCATTTTGCAAAGAGTTTCAAGAGGTGGTACTGAAGTGGAGGTAATCTTTTTGAAAGGTCTTCACCTCGCAGCCTTGTAAAGGGTCAGCGGCAGCACAAATATGGTCCTCAGCTCCCACCATTTCTGGTCTGAAGGAAAGCCAGCTGAGATGCAAAAGTTGTTCTGTCTCTGAGTCTACTCTCTCCCTCTGACACTCGCAGCAATGCCGTTGCTGATAAAATCACCCGGTCACCAGATCTAATCTGCAGGCAACCAAACAGCTGGCAAACCTAATGATGCTTCAATAAAAAGCAGCAATTTTGTTCAAAGGAACAACTGAACAAAGAAAGATTTGTCACACTACCAACTCCAGCCTGGAACCTTCAAAATTTCTACTAAAGTATGGTGAGGGAAAGGAGATACTCCAGAGCATTCAGCTTCAAACTATTTCCATGCTACTATGTAGTCTCATATGACCAAATGCCAGCATAGAAACCTAATTATATTTATAAAGCGTAACTACATTACTAATACCAAGGAGTTAGACATATATAAAGTTGAACCGTCCAAAAAAAAAAAAAAAAAAAAAAAGGCTAGGCACCTTTCCAGGGCATTGTTTAAGCCCCACTGTTCTCAAGGTACAATAATTCTGTCGAGAGTACCCGCGCTTGGCTCAGGCATGCCCTAAAAGATATTCCATTGCCAGGAAGTTTTCAGTGGCTTTTGAGTTCTGTCCGTAAACACAAAGCATGAGTAGACGGACATTTTTATTTTCATGCCCACATAACTAAGATATTATTTCCATTTAAATCCAAAGTTCCCAACATTGTATGTGGAAATGAGTAGTTTCTGTTTGAAAAGGTATTGTGTTATTTGGTACGGCATTTCTATTTGGACACAAAATGAATTGAAAACTGCTGTAATGGTTTTTCCAGTGACAACCTATTTTACTGTAACTGCACGACAGTCAAGAAGCAAATAAGGATTGTTTACAAAGCTCTACCACTTGTTCAATTAACATATTTGCTTATATTCAGACTTTAATTATGTTTATAATCTTTATATACGATATAAGCAGGGGGAAATGGGAGGAAGAGCCTCTCTTGTGGCTGGCCATGGCCTCAACGGTATTTCCCCGTGAACCTAACATTTCTTAAAGAGGAAAAATTACTTTGAGACTAATGAGTTCAATTCACTGCGAATTTGAACGTGCTATTTCATTACCAAACACTCCTAAACCTAACTTTCATAACACGGATATATAATCACTAGAGAGATCAAATCTGTATACTCAGATGATGTAATTATGAACCCGAAGGACCTGAAAGTAAAATGAAGCAGTGTTAGAAGCTGAAACGAGCCTACTGAGTTTATTCCAAGAACAGCATACGTTTTTGCAGCTGGTGATTTTGTAACTCTCAATATTCAATTGCCTAAGCATTAAGATCAAATATTTTTAGGTTTTGCACACCTTCACTTCCTGCAGAATATTAGATTCTAAATTCTACGCAACCGGTGTGCATAACAGTCATCACGCAGTACTTCGGAGAGACTAACCAGAGGCACTAGTGAGCAATTAAGTCTGATGCACCATTGAGGCAGCGGGTGATTGCACTGCACTGGATGTTTCCCATTAACTGTTCTAATGGTTCTTTAGGCCCACCTCCGTAGAAGAAAAAGTAGAGCAAAATGAATAATGCAACACAGTTGCACCCACAATTCCTCCGGTTGGGAGAATTTCACAGCATTCTGCGCAGCGTGAATTCCAACTGCGGAGCTAAGCAGGACTCTTAGTCCAGGACAAATGGCTTTTCATTGTTTAGCTCCAGTTAAACAAAACCAGGCCTGAGTTCAACAAATGGAAGCCACGCACAAGCAAAATGAGAGTGATCCGCGCTAAGACGGGCACGGGCACAGTTAGGAATTTGTTTTGACTTCCTCAAGAGACCAACGTTCCCACATTGATGAAAACGTCTTTGAAATCTCCCCAAATATTCCTCTCTAAGATGGGAGGGAAGGGCTGGGTACACCTTTGGAAGGCGTTAACTGGACTGTAACTGGTTTGCCTGCCGGGCTCAGCACAGAACTCTACACAAAGCCTATGGCACGCTCCTAGAAATACTGGTACACTACAGGCAAGTTTTTGTGGAGTAACACCACCTGTGTGCGCAGTTCAGGAAACCAAACCAAAAGTCATCTCCTGCAGACGGAGTTTCAGTTCTGTCTCTTCTATTACCATTTATTAGGGAAATGACTGCACACAGGCCTCCTCCTGGGCCGCAAGAAGACCCCACAATTGCCCTATCAGCCTCCCAAAAGGACAGGAATTTATTTAGACTGTTGCTATTGGGAGAGGAAAGAGAGAGAAGGAGAAAGACTGAGAAAGGCAATAAACCAGTCTCCTCCAACAGAAATTTTTCTATAGAGTTTTAGAGCGTGGAATACTGTCTACTGTGTATCCAGTACTGCTGGATATAAACTTTTTGGCCCACTGTATAAGTGGCCAGAGGCTACCTAAAACTAGGACAATTTTAACTAAAAACCACAGACCTTTCACTAAGGATTGCATTAAACTACATTTTTTTATTTTACTTCTGAAGTGACCTCAACAGAACTTCAGACTTTGTTGTGTATTTCCACCCATTCATATTCATTTATACGCATTGTTTTTTTAATGAATCATTTATTTACAAACACCTCGGGACAGGGGAAAACACGCACGTGCCAAGCGCTACTGGCACTGGCTAGATTATCGCCCATAGTATGTCTCTCTCAGTATCTCTCTCACTTGGGCTAAGAAAAAATTGTTCCAAAATCCACCCCGAAACCAAACTTCAGGCAACTCTCACGGTCGACTGTTCTGACAAGAAGTTCCAAACACAGCTGACAAATCTGTTCCTCCTGTACTGACGCTGCAGCCATACGGAGAGGAAGAAATAACACTATTCTCGTTAGACAATCAGCACGGAATTTGGAGAAGCGTGTAAAACATCAAGCCTTGTTGAAATTTAAGCTTCTAGTTCACTGTGGAGTAAATTATCATTCTGTTCAATTTTATCTACTGCACTAAAATCTGTAAGGGAGTCGCATGCAATTATCACTAATTAGTTTAAGATTAATTAATTGGTTTTGGGTTTTTTTCAGATCGGGCTGTTCTGGGTTACGGCTAATCCTTTTTCTGACTTATGGGTTTGTCAGCTCAATCTTTGAACAGCGGCAAGCTACAAACATTTTCAAACAAAAAAGTTGGCTATAACTGGTAGAGCACTCCTTAGGGTAGCACACAGCACAGTAACCTTCCCCTTCATTCACCGAACTAGTACCGTGGAAATAGCTGTACACAATCATCTTGTCTGGAAACGGAACACTTCCGATTAAGCGACTATTGCTACTTAGGAGAAGCTGACTCCACTTTTTCTTAGCTGAATTCTACAGCTTTTTGGCCCCACATTTGTAGCAAATAGGCCGGCTTCTTTCTGATCGCCTTCAGCAGGGCTTAAATATTACGTTCTGCTTTACCAATGGGGGCAAAAGACTACTCGGGAGATATGCTCTCTGCTTCACGACAGGCATTCTTTTTTTAATGAATCATTTATTTACATACATGGAATCACTGAGTGTCGTCCAAAAGGAATAAAATATTCAGATCAAGACTCCTTCTTCTCTGGTCTAAGGAATATAAGCTGCAAGAGTTGCTGGTGCCGCTGCACCTGCAGGATGGAAAGAATTTCCACAGCTCCTAAACATACTAACTTTGTCAACAATGAAAAGCCACCTTGCAGTCAACATTACTGGCTACAAATATTTTAGGTAATATTTAAACCAGTGCACACAGGCTAAAGGCCTCTTGTATCAACACAGCAAGCAGGTACAATTCTGCAGATCTTACTTTGCTGGAGAACAGCAACTTCAGGGCAAAGACCGCTTTCAAGGTATTTTAAGGAAGAGCCACTGGTCAATTCTAGTTATTTATTGCCCTGTTGGAATGACAATAATGTTTTCTGGAAAGTTTCTTATTATAATTACATACAATCACAATGTTTTATGATTTTTTATTAAAAAAACAGAGGGGAGAGGGTCTAAATGAGCAAGACAGGCTTTACCTTTGAGCAAAAACCACCACAGATTCTTAAATAAAGTAATAAGAAAATAAATTAAAAAGGTGTTCATTTGCTATAACGTGAAATAGGGAATGAGTAGAGGCACTTTGCTTTTCTCTTCAGTATTTCTAGCACGCAGGGGATACATTAAATCATTTGCCAATGTAAGGTACCTTGCGGCCATACCCTCTCAAGGAGGCAGAGCCCGTAGCACCGAAGCTGGAACTGCAACTCACCATCACACCTTACATCTGCCATTTCTGGGCTCTGAATCCACTCACAGGATCTTCTGAGTTTAGGCTTATTTGCCCAAATTACTGACTTACAAGCTTCACAAACCAAACAAAGCCATCATACTTCACAGCAATCTATTCAAACCCTTCTACGTTCCTTCTTTTGTGGTGCTGCTAACGACACACACAGCTCCGGGCGCAAGGCGAGATGCGATGCCAGTGTATCTGCGTTAAGAATCAACAGCAAAATTGGAGGCACCCTGAGGCAGGAATTCAAATTTGTGCAGGAAAGAAAAGACTTGGTAGAAGGACAGATCAAAAAGATAAGCTGAAGGAGAATGGAAATACAGATAAAGCTGAGTTTATGGGGGGAAGGAATGACTGCTATCAACAGCAAATGTGTTTAAAAATAACTGCTCTTTATGACTTGTCTCCTGAGTAGTCCTTTGATATCTGATCTTTTATTAAAGAGCACTACTATCAAAAAAAGAAACGTATCTTAGAGTTTCTCGTGTTGCCCGTTTCTCTGAGCCAGAAAGGCTGTGAAACTCCACCCCAGCAGCAACTGGACCACAGCAGTACGTCATGGCTTCAGGCCAGCAGAAGTGAAGAACCAGTTCACACACTCCCAGTGTTCGTTCCAAAGCCCGACATCTGTTCAGCTACTAAAGCGCACTGCAACTCCCATAGAGTCACACGGAGGTAAGAACGCTAAGGTATATTTTAGGACGCATCCTCGTGAACTATGGCACCGAAGTGGTCCTTTAAAGCTTTGTACTTTCTCTAAGTTACTTTTATAAAAGGGGAAAATGGCAGCAATTTGAAAAATCATATGGGAGCTAATAGCAGTCAATTCACTCCTTTCTCCTGTTTACTTGGTTGAAGTTTCTGCTGCAAAAGGACCTCACATTGCTTTTCACAACTGAAATATGAATTTAGGTAGTTTGGGAAGATAATTCATTAATCAGAGAAAAGAACATCTATCACTCTGCCTCAGGATACAGGAGACTCTCCTGAGCTGCTTCTTCAAATGATCTTGTCTCTAAGCCGCCAGCACACAGCGAGTTGTCTGAACTGGCAATTTTGAAATATTGTGACCTCTGTCAGCAAATTGCTCAATTAGCTCCCACAAGATTGGCAGTAGCATACCTACAGAGGTAAGGTCTCCTAACCAGGCTGTTGTTTTTCAGGATGATCTTAGCATTACGTGGGATGAAAGATGCAGAATCTCTCTTTACGTCATGCTCTAGACACCCTGAAATGTCTTTTTGCCATTAGTATCGCATACCTGCAGCTCCCTTAAAAGAAACATGGATGACAGAAGCTATCTCACTGACGGGCACAAACAGAGATGAATCATTCTTTTGAAAACTAACAACTACAAATTTTATCTTTCTTGTATTTATACACACATCCCCACCCTTTTTGCATGGAAAGGTTGTGGATCATCCACAACTATATATGACACAACCACTTGCGAAGCATGTTTAACTTACAGGAAAAAAGAAAAAAATAATCATCATGAAACCTACTTTGTGACCATTTCTTAGAATGCCTAGGAATTGGCTAAGGGTTTTAAAACTTATCATTAAAAATCTTTAAATGAAATAGGAGAGAGCAACTAAGCGAATGGGTAACATGAGGACTGCTACATTTTTGACCCCTCTGTTCTTCCCTCCTAAGTCAGGGCTTTCCAGTAAGAATTGTGAGAATCCATAAAATCAATCAGAACGGAGCAAGACTACAGTTCTGCATTAAGCTTGTTTACACTGCTGTTCAAGTCTCAAGGATTATGCAAAAGGGTATAGAAAGGACATAGAGAGTAAAAGCTTCCTTTGTTTCACACAAGTATTGAAGTTATGAATCAGAAGTCTCCCAAGGAACAAAGTTAAAACCAGTCTTTCCAAGGGAGAGTGGATTTTTGAACTCAGGCTTTGGTTTCAGCTCCTCTTTAACAATGAGTATTTTGGTCATCTTAGAAGCTTATTATTGAGAGAATAAACCAGCATCTAATAATATTTATAGACTACCACATGGAAAGAGCTAAATGCTATTTCATTATGCACTTCACACTTCTAAAGACACGTTTTCTGACTGTACGAATAGTCTGATTTTTAATAAATGATAATAAATTAAATTAAATTGAAAACATCACTATGGTTACTGCCAGAAGTCAACCTAGGAAAGCAGAATTCTACCAGTTTTATTTTTTGACTTCTAGCTTGGTTTAGTATTAAAAGTCACTACAGTTTTGATTACTTGAAAGCATTGTTTAAAGTACTCTAAGGGCTCAATGACAAGACAAACTACTGAGAAAAGCTCCTTGTTGAGAATACACACACGGTTTCAGCTAAGATTTATGTTTTGGTCTGACATTACATAAAAAATGATTAATTCTGTTTATGGTGAAAATTCTGATAAATCCCAAAGGAAACGTACATCTGTCTCATTCAGAATTACATTTCAGAAGGTAAGAAGCCCTTGCCGTTATGAGTTGAACAGCAAACACATTTTTATTAGATTTTCAGCTACTGTAAAATTCAAAATGCTGAGGTTACTGCTGAGTACCACCATTCTCATACACTATGGTCCCCTACCATTTCAACAACTAATGAAATTTCTATTCAATATACATTTGTTATGTGTGAATACAACGGAAAGCCTCTTTTTCTCTTAAGAACTCTTAAATATTTATTATTATTAAATTATTAAAAGGAAATACTGTAACTTGTGTGGTGTCTCTAGCATTATAACATGTCCACTACCATATATGACAATTTCAAAATATTTTTTATGTCCACTCAAATATAGACTCAAAGAACACCACAACAGTCATACCGACTGAGATGAGTTCACCTTAAGTCAAGTAAATTGTTTTTTTGCAAGTGTCTAAGACACTTTAATAATTTGGGGAAAAAGCAGAAGAATACAGACTAACATTTCCTTCGGTATACCTTCCCAGAAATAACTGTAAATGCAGCATTTGCTCCTTAATCTCTTTTATGCTGCTGTTCCAAGAGAATGCATGCAGACTTCCTAGAACCTAACAATTAAAATAGATTCAGCTCCACGCATAAGGAGCAAAGAAAAACAAGGGCAATGATTTACTTGACCTCATTGTATAAGGGCTTTGCAGGGACTGCTCTGAAAGCAGAGCAATTGCTCTGAAAGCAAAGGAGGTTTTGGGAAAGATAAATGGCTCACACCTACAAGCTAATAAGGCAGCTTGTTTTGGGATTGCAGTTTTTGCAGTGCTTGTTTCCAGAAGCATACATCAGATTATTAACTTACATACCAGAGTATCTTCTTTCCATGGACTGATCTACCATGTTTCTGTAGTTACCTCTGCTGCGAAAGAGGTCTCGGGACACGATCGCTCAGACAGTACTTTGCTTGCCGGAGTCTCAGACATAACTGCAGACCACTCTTACTTTGAGTGCGTAACTGGACAAGAATACAACTTTATTCCATTTTCACGGCTCGGACTTTCCAGGTGATGACAGTTCTACCAAAAGGATCTTTGGAATCTATGCACAAACCAATGGGTATAGAGTGCAAACAGTGACAACTACACTAAATATACGCAGATAATTTAAGTGGTATGACTTCTGCTATAGATGTTCATGGTATCAAAGTAATTTTCCTAAGAGATATCTGACATCCTTACCTCCCAGTCCATGTAGTCACATACATCTTCAAAGTTAGTGAGTAGAGACACTGAGCAGAAAAGCCGTGGCAGCTCATCCCTCGTCATTGGGGGGAAACGACTATCTTTAAGGGCACTGTTGAAGACAAAACAGAATTTCAAAGGATTTTTGAGGGATTTTTTTTTTTTTTTTTTTTTTTTTTTTTTTTTTTAAAGTTCAAGGATCTAATGAATCAACTGAAAAGTATAAAGGAAAAAAAAAATCCTGATGAAATGATGACCGGTTTGATAACCCAGTTGCCAGTGTAACACACTGACCAACATTCCCAACTTTCTCTTTAGACATTTGGTTCCGTTCTTGGCTGGCCAGTCAGGTGGTGTTCTCAGGGTCATTCCTTCCTGAGCTGATTTTGCCACTATAACAACCACGCTAATGAAGCAGCAGAAAGTTTTTGGAAGAAGTTACAAAAGCAATAGCTCTTCTACCTGTTATTTAGTAAATCCTTTCCAAAAAGGATTAAACTACACAACATAACGTAGAGGAGCAAATTCTATAGCCTGCAATCATCAAACGTAGTACAGTAATCAAACTATAGAACTTAATTATTCAGTGAAAAAAAAATATCCAAAGAAGCAGAATATTCTCCAAAAGAGACTACTCCTCGTGCTTACTGGCAAAGGTGAATACAAATAGGTAAAAACATCCAAGGGCTCTACAGACCTGTAAACCTACAGGACTTGAAGATGTTCTGCAAAGCAGAGGTAATAATTAGTAACAGGGAAGCTTACAAACAGCTAAGCTAATCCTCAGGCTAACATACCATTCTACAGACAAACACACACCTAATGGGGTAAAACTCAATACAGAGAGGAGCTATCTGGGCACATTCCAGCACGGTTTGAAAAACAAAGCAGTTAACAGACAGTAAGCAGTACCACGAGTAAGAACATTTTTAAAAGCCTACTTGCGTAAGTTTGGTTAAGAACCAGTTAAACTGGAAAAGGGAAGGTTAAAGTGAGCATGCTGTCTCATAAATTTTTATTAAGATTTGAAATATGACTTGTATGAATACAAACAAGTTCATCTCCAACAAAACCAGCGATCTGCTAACTGAGCTTTTTGATGAGTAAAGAGAATTTAATATTAAGAGACTTACTAAAGTACTACCAAGTTCTTCACGCGTCTCATTGTTTCATCTAACAATTAGACTGTTCTTATTTGTTTTACTTGGCATACAGCCAGCGGTTGCCATTAGCTGATACAACTACAACCATGGCCACGATGTTTAGAATATGGCTGAAGTCTCTGCATCAGATATTTAACTAATGACTTTCACTAAAGATGTATCAAGAGATGGTATTCTCCAAGATGCTGTGGAAGGGATTTGCAAAGCGAGCTTTGTGAGTGCTGGGAAGCAGGCAGAGTTACTGTCCTCTGCTGCCCGATGTTTCCGAGCAACATCAGAGATCAACTCATACAGCCACAGCATAACAGCAACATATGAAAATACAAACAGCTCATTCAGCCTTCATGTCCCTCCAGGTAGGGGGAAAAAATAATATATATATGTAAAGGAAGGACACTCTGAACACAGGGACAGCTCAAACCAGAAGCCCATCTAGCCTAGCGTTAAGTAATAACCAACAGCAGTTAGGAAAATGAATGAATGTAAGAACACAGTAAATATCCAGGGGTACTTTCCTGGAATACCCTCCAGGAATCCAGCTATTTATAGCTTAGGTATTTTGAGCCAGAAACGGTATCTCTGCACTTAAAAGCTTTTCATGGGTTTATTTAATAAGTGCAAGCATACATGCTTTTAATATTTTACTCCTACCTTTTACTAAAAACTAAAAAATTATGTTCAGAAACCCCAATCCTCTTAAAATCCATTGCTACTACAAGTTTGCTTATATGGAAATTTCTCATTTCCCTGAGGTATGTTGTACCTCTATCATATAACCAATCTATTTGAATATACTACTGAAAATCACCCAGAGACAAACATTATTTCATTAAACAAACAACAAATTCAGTTATCTTTGGAAACAACTGTACGCATGGACATTGCCACTACCTGTTTAAGCCTGTTTTTCGTAATTTATACAACAATCTTACCATGCAAAACAATTCCCATATTGTAAGAATTTACAACCTTCAAAACCCCTTTCTTTTTGGTGCAACTTGATACTAGTTTATCTAACTTTCAATTTCCCTTCCTCACGCTGCCAAAACGCACTTGTGAATTTCAACTTTTCGAGGCAAAGGTTGTCTACTGTGGGTGTAAGCTTCATCCCAGTAATGTCACCAGTAAAAGTCTCAGGCAAATTCCCACTCACTGAAGTTCTGCCGCACTGGCATTACTGGATGAGAAACCATCCTTAATTTAACATACTTTAAGTTGTACAGAAACAAACCTCACATGACGCACGCGTAAGCCGTGTCTCGGCTAGCCTGCTCACATACCGGGATAATAATCTGAAACAAGATGGGGGAATCACGACAAATCTGAATATCGATACAAAGCCAAGATAGGAAACCTTCCCGGGAACAGAGTGGAAGCAGAAACGCACACAAAGGCACGAAAGCCTCGGGCACATACAGCAAACAGAGTAGCTCAGTTGTAGGTTTGAAAGCAGAGCAATGCAGTAACCGTTGCACACTTACAGGAAGCTTAGCTGGCTCATTCCATTATTCAATAACATGACACTGGCACAAATACCACGCTTTCACGTGACTACCTTATAACAACTAAAATATTGTTTATCAAATGATGGGGCCATTTCAGCGACACCCCGTTCCTTCAGAACTGTTAGTTAGGTGCTATTTTAGCTGAAAAACTGCTCCTCAGCATCTCCATGACACCACACATCTGTGCCCATCTCCTGCGTGGGCACTCGTGCTGCTGGCGGGGAGAGCGACCCGGCAGGACAGGACAAGCTCGGAGATCTGAGTAACAGCCTCAGACACCACTGCGACTGGTCAAGACAGAAGAGTACTGCTGTTCTATTCCTCCTTTCCCCATTTCCAGACCCCATATTACAATTTATTTTCATCTTTCAAAACAGCTTTGTCTCTGTTGTTACAGAAGTAAAAACAGAATTTACCTGGAGGAGTTTGTGTCGGCAAACAACCAGCAATTGGACACACTGAAGGGAGATGCCAACAGGAAAGCGTTTCTTTGTACTGGTTGGCTACACACGAAACATTCTGTCCGCTAATGCAAAATTTATGAAAGTAAAATAGTCCAGCGATTTTATCAGGTGCCAGTTTTAGAAGAACTAGCTTAAAACTTAATAACCCTGCCGTAATGAGTTTGCTCTAGCTGCGTCATATACTACTTTAAAACTAGGAACTGTTTACCTTTTAAGCGCTGTATATTACAGTTAGAGGATCTGCCCTCTTCTCAATCACTCTTTTATTCCTAATATGGTTGCAACTCTAAAGTAAGCTCCAGACACCTTTTGAAAACCTAAGAGCAGAGCAGCTTCGTATCATCTCTTCACAAATCAACCATTTGCATTTTTTAATGCTTGCTTAGCAGGAGACACACATCATCAGAGATGCTTCCCTTCAGAATTCAGCCATTATCCTTAAGCCTGAACTTTCTCTCTGTGGCACCATCCACCGCCTGTGACGGTGCCAGTAAAACTAGTGGATGGTTCCAGTGGAGCTGCTCACGGGCAGCTGCCCCCACTGCACAAACCCAAAGCTCTCCATGGTCAACAGACTGGCCTCACCCGCAGAAACATCAGCGGATCTCAACGCTTACCAAGCATAAAAAAAACTTGTGTGAGCTTTTGTTGTTCCTGATGTGAGAAGAAAAACCACCAGTTTCTACAGGCAGGAGTTTGGCACCAAGTGTACACTTCCACCACTCTACAAAGCCGTGTGGACATAAATGCAGACGTCTGCCTCCCCTGCCCCGTTAGTATGCCTCTCGGTGACCAACTCCAAGCAAGCATAGCACACAGAGAAGATAACATATGCTTGTTTTCTCCAAAGCTCGTTACTGATCTGAGCTGTTCAGAATGAAAAGTCACTGCACAATTGCGTGTCGGCATTCTCGATTAGTAGAGGAGACTTATTTCTGTTTATTTGATGGAAGCGTTATTTTTGTAGTGTTAGAATGTGATTTTACAATCTTATTCAATGCCATATTCTTCTGTTAATTCTTCCGTTAGAAAGACAAAAGGATTCCCATGGAACAAAATCTGGCATATTAGCTACCAGGTTTAAAAAAAATATTTACTCCACAATTTTTCTGTTAAACTTAGAATTAAGGAAGGGTAAGTAGAAATAATTAGTAAAATAAGTTGGAAAAATTAGGCAGAATTTAAAACTATTTTTAAAGAAAAAAAAGACTTATTTTAAAAGCATTTTTTAAACCTTCTGTTCTTTATTCCTTAATGCCCAGACCCAATTTACATATATTGCTGCTGACTAAATGGAAGGACATGGTAGGGAAGAGTTGAAGAGAAGCAGTGCCAAGCAAGGGGAACTCTAGCTGCCCAGGAAAAGGACATTAGTTTTTCCACACGGAGCTCTGCTCCATGTTAAAAGTGAAGCAGGCAAAGTCAAGATTGAATCCTGTTCAAAGAAAACTATTTTTAGACACAAAATGCATGCACACACACGCACAGCCTTTCTAGTTAAATATACTTTATTTATGCAGGCTTGGGTGTCCTACTAAGATCAAGTAATTGCCAGTCAAGAAAAAACCAAAACAAAGTGTTACTCAACTATTAGTTTTTCTTCAGCTGAGCCATGCTAGACAAATCTCAGCTTCTCCTCAAATGAAGATTATTTGGCCATAAGCTCTCCAGAAATGTTTTTCAATAATTCCATTTTCCATGTACCAATCCTTGTATTTGGGATACAGCAAAGCTTGCAAACAATTTAAAGACACTGAAAATATTTAAAGAAAAGGAAATTGTTCCAAGTATTTTGAGTTAGCAAGAAAAACAGCGTGAAGTTTAGGAAAAAATAAAATTAAGGTTCATATTCCTTAAGACTACATCTTGGTTTTGTAAAATACCACCAGCGAAGCTCTCGGAATCATCTGAAATAATGGTATGAGCAGGTGAGCCAAAATGCAATACATCATTGTGTTGTCCATCTGTAATTTCCATAGG